GAATACCACATGTAATCATATTCTACAATGTTTAATATCCGTGTTATGAGTGCACTGAAGACGACTAAACATTTTCTCTTATTTTATTACTTAGTGATACTATTGTACTGATAATATAATAAATAAATTTGATTACGTTTATGTCACTTAGTGGCAACACTATGCGATAACAGCCAAATGTTACATTATACGAGGATTTATTCCTCTTATTTAAGAGGACCATGAACATGACGTATTTATAAGTGCGTTTGATCTAAGGCTGCAATGTTATTTAACGTTCGTCATTTTACATGTTTAACAATATAGGCCTAAATGGTAACTTGATGCTGTGCTAAAAAGACGCATTCATGCTTGGAGGCCTAATTTGAACTTAGTAAATTTCAAAAACAAACTTTTAAGAACAAATTATCCCAAAACAACGAAAAATTGACATTGCGATTATGTCTCGATGCGCGCCGCTCCAGTGACTATTATTTCACCCTGTTATTTTCCGAAATTGTGTCACCGAGACAGCGGGGGCCGTAACCGGGGAAGCTAAACTGTTCCAACCGTTATTACCCATTATCAACAGTTGCGCAACCGTCGATGTGAACATTTGCAAACAGAGCTGTGTGCAAGCGCGGCTTTCACTGCGATTGAATCCGAGTGAAAAATACAATTCACATATATTTGACGGAAAATTGTAGGTAATGCGGGCGTGAAAGGAAAATTGGGAGAGTTTGGACTTTTATGATTTGGGGTTAGTTTGTAAAATGCAAGTCTAATAATTTGTTTATGTCGCTTAGTTTCGGGGTCAACAACAATGAATTTAATAAGTGAAGAATTTTATAAGAATGTTATAGTGAAAGTAAAATTGTAAATGTTAGCCGTGCCAAACAGGAAAACATACTAAGAAGAAGTTATGCTTTTTAGAGTTAAAATAATATTTTTTTGAGTCAATACACTTAAGAAATTATCTAGTGTTGACGACAAACCCTTGCTATTGTGTTAGATAACTTTTCAATCCATTATAAATTATTTGTATTATTTAGTTAACAGATTGTCATTCAGGTATAATATTTCAGTCTCTTCTATGATTCAGTCATTTTCTGAATATTGTATGTGCCAAAATAACCAGTACGGAAATCGTAATATTTTATTCTTTTTCATTAGGTCCACTGATTATTTTGGCACATATGTAAGGTTGCTGTTGAAAATAAATCGTGTAACAGAATACAATAAACACCAAGTATCGCGTGAATAACATCATAAATGATAAAAATCGCTAGCATATATCAATAGAATAGAATGAAACACTCGGACCACTGTAGTAGTGAGCGCCTGTGTTGCGCAAATAGGCAATGTGACTGCAGTAGTCATATTGCATACTCGCCCCCGCGACGGCGACATCGCGTTGAAATGCTTAAAAATATCTTCAAAGCGTAGTTTTTAGGTGACCATGCCTGAAAAGCAATGCATTTATTTATTTTTGCTATTTAAGGTTTGCGGAATATTTGGTTAACCGCAGAAAGTAGCCAAGCTATGGGTTAGCCGTTAAAGTACAAACATTCAGAACTGATACATTTCAAGTTGTAATCTCAAGACGCTTACCCACGACATCGTTGCTTCTGTTCTACAGATACAGACGAAGCCGCCAATTCACCTAATTAGCTCAATGAAAAAATTTTAAGATTGTAATAGAGAAAGTAAAGAAAATATAAATACTGCGGTTTTTGTTATTCATCCCGCAAATTACTCGTTGTAGGAACTTTGAATACCCGACGAATAGAGATGGATAGACTGAAGTACGTAATATACATAATTCATACTACATACTAAAAATTCTCGGAATTCTTGGGTTAAAGTTTGGGTAACGGAAAGACATTTTTTCGCCATCCACACTCTGGCCGTATTCTCTTTTAACGTATATATTTTCTTCGTCATTCCGGCATGGAGATCGAACTAGCAACCTTTAGATTTGATGTTGAGCACTATAACCTATGTAGTGAATAATAATATCACACAGATATAGCAAAGACTTGACGCAAGCACACTTGAGCCACTTGATCTACAGGGAAGCCCTCCAGCAGTGTAGTGGCCGCGTGTCGAGAGTCGTGTCACGTGTTGGTCGCGTGTTGAGCTGCTGACTCATCTACTTTGATACACTCGACACTCGCTGAGAAAAACCACCAGAAGACCGTCCACGGGTCAGGCCGATGACACCGGCGCGGCTACAGTCAAGAGTGGACAGAGGATGAAACATCAATTAGCACTTTGGGTTTTGCTGGGAAATTTAGTAGAATCGAGAGATACTGTAAAGTTTTGCGTTTAAGCTGCTGAATATCTACCCTGTCAAAACTATAAAGATTTGAATTGTACTTCAGTAATACTGGAATGATTATAATAGCTTTAATGGACCTTAAAACACCTAGAATAACATAATATTGTATTTTAATTAAATTGAACTAGCTAGTACTATTGCATTACTGGTGTACAAGTAATATTGAACTCAGAGAGCACAGAATAGATTGAACTATTACAGGCGTTGTGTTTTATTAATCAGTGATGAAAAATGTACACAAGTTTAAAAAATACCACGAACGATGACTTGTAAACCAAGAATAAATATAAAAACGTATTCCTTGTTAATTATTAAAATTAGGTTTAGAAATGTTTTACCAAATAAATTTGAAAGACTTGTCAAATTGTAATTCATTAGTGAAATAGCTTAAAACTACTTGATAATTTCTAATTTGGTCTGCATGTAGACTTTGTTACATACTTTTTCAATCTAAACTTACGAAATATTAATTTTTAATCACATTGTATTCATTAATAACATTGTGTGCTTATTCAAGAGGCACTAACAAATATTACTAAGATATAAGATTTTACAATTATTTTCATTTGTATAACACATGACTTTTTACTCCAAGTCATTCTATTACAAAGTTTTTATTTGTTTCAGTCTCTGACTCTTTTCTCCTAATCACTGATAACAGGAAGCGGTAGATTCTCGGACACATCCCTATCGCTCAGGTCCACTGTGGTTTTACCTTCCGCTGTCAAATTTGTTCAACTTATCCTCATGCGGTTTTGGGTTTTAAACATTAAATTGACCGGATTTTCCTCAAAGTTTTATTACTAACTGCGGACTAATTGACTATGACATTCAGCTATATATCCAGCCATAGAGCAATAAACAACGCAGAAAAAACTTCAATCGCAAGGCCTTCCAATGATTAGGACACATAGCTGTCTGCTAGTGAAATTGCAACATCAAATTGCAAAATTTAAAATTGCGAAAAAGGTTTTTTGATGAAATTGCATAAAATTGAAAATTTTTCGTGTTGAGTGTATACGGTGGTTCAAATTTTGGGTCGTGATTGCGGCAAATAGTAGTACTGTAGTAGTAGTGTATATTCTCGTCGATTATCTTCTTTGAAAATATATTAACTACCATCTTCTTACTCAGTACAAAATATGGTCACAATGTTAGGTCTGGCCAACAGTAATAATGTTTACATTTTCTCTCTCATTCTACACGTATCTTTTATTCATATGCCAGTTAAAATACGTCTATAGTTTCATCCTAAACTAAAACAATAATATAGTAATAGTGACACATAGACATTACTTTACATTAAACCTTCCGGTACATTCATAAGAACACAAATATTTGTCTAAATTTAAAAATGCTTCACGTATCTGATTATCTTGTATTTTTACTCACTCATTAAGTGATTAACCCATTACCTCTGTTCGGTTATCTCTACGAGCACAGAACAATTTGAATAATCGTTTCAACAATGAACAATTTTAACTCACGTTTTAATGGTTCAATTTCAATGTAACAAAAGGAGGAAAGATAGAGGTGTCTGAAGCCCGGAAGACAGCAATTTTTAAGTTCATAATAATATAATTACAGACGAAATCACAAACACGCCGAAAACAGACTATTATCTTGTGTACAATTACAGTTTAGTGTATAAATTACAACGTTAACATAATACGCTTGTGAATCTAGTGTGGTTTGGCCATTAAACCTTAATATCACATAATGATATTCTGCGTGCTGCTAGAGAATTAACTAAACAATATTCTATCATTAAATAATGTACAGTATTTAAATTAAATTTGTTTTGGACTCTGTTCAAACATTGCAGAAATAAACAAATAATTACTTTTAAATGTTTTTATATAGTAATGTAGCAATATTAAGGGTTGTTAACTACTTTAAGAAAAATAATTTTACAGTAAATAGTAGAAAAAAAATTCCGTGTACTTAATTAAGTATTATTTTAACCTAACATTTTTTTCACATTTTGGTGAATATGTTTTGCTTGTTCAAATATTCTACTAAATAATAAATTGCTTTCTCTTTAGAGCTGCGATAGAAAAAATAGATAACGTGGTTAATCAAGAAATCTAAATTCATAGATACGGCACTTTAATCTAAACTGAGAATGTTCAACTGCCAATAGTTATACACTCATTATTCTTCATTACAGCTGTAAGAAAACTCGCAGATAGTTCAAAAATGGAAAAACAAAATATAACATCAAGTGGAAGGATAAAATGTAGTGAGGTCACACTTTAATGATGCAAAGTATAAAATATCCCATTTGAACGGTAAATAAGTTCAACCTATGTGTACTATCTCGGCCGCCTTGATTGATATCTCTGTTGTATATTTGATATATTTGGCAATATTTTAAGGGTATTCTTGATTCCTTAAGCCTTATAAAAACGCTTTTGTCGCTTTTAAAATGTAATGGGCAGACAGAATTCTTTAAGTCTTTAACACAAGCATTGACAATTACGAACAGATTTACAATTTTTAAATAGGTATGCTCATGCATTAAAGACATTGAAATGGTAAAATGTTTGTCTATAAACAGAAATATGAACAGTGTTTTATCTAAATCAGCTTGTTCTTTAGTTGGGACCATTTATAAAAACATCCAGCCTGTATAGGAACCATCATAAAATACGTTATTTATTTTGTCAAATTTACTGACCATTTGAGCAGACGCTGGAGTTGTCGCCGTGCAGGCCGGAGTCTGTGCCGCTCTCATGACCATCGCTGAGGTCGGCGTCAGAGGCGGCGGTGCGGCAGTGGAGACTGAGGTCCCGGGGGGCGTCCACGGAGCTGGCCGGCGACGGAGGTGACCGCTGGGGGTGGTGGCCGGACTGGCCGGACAGGATGTCTGTGATCATGAACCTGGACCGTGCGAGGTGCGGATGGTGGTGCGGCATGGTCAAGGCAGCTGGGGACATGTCGTGGACTGTCATGGGTCCACCGGGAGTCCTGGGTCCACCCTCCAACGTTCGGTCCTTAGGACACTCCTTAGTCCTCACCACTCACAGACAACAAACTCCATACACCAGTAACGCACTGTTTATGAACAACTAAGCGCCGAAGATGACACCTCGTGTGACACCAAAGTTTATTTTACGGCAAACACGAAAACATATCACAGGTAACTGTCGCGATGAAAGTTTAATAGTCACTGAATGATCCGAGAGCACTGTTGTACGTCCTCACCGCTCGAGTCACTGGTGTCGACTGTATCACGGGAACGAACGCCCGCCCCTCCCCTCCACGGCCACGCCCCCTCCTCCTCGGCTAATAGAATCACTCGCTCTTCTGACTCCACCAATCAGCGGCTCCTATTATCGGATCCTGTGATCCTCCCCACCACTCGCCAGCTCTCTGCGGTTTAAGGACAATCTATTACATCTTCACCTCTTTTATCCTTTCTTTCCGTTTTGATTTGTTAAGTAATACTCCATAGTCTCACTGAACGTCTGGTGTTCGATCGTTCATTGCCTCTAGGTTGCAACTAAGTAGCAAGACTTCCGCTGTGGATGTAGTAATGCTCTTTATTACAGCGAGACGTCTGTTTTACAGTTCAACTTTATTTCGCCGGTGTCTCTGCTCGGAATGAGGGTAACAGCAGTGTCTTGTCCTAATTCCTTTAAGTGCTTTAGTGAAGAGGCTATCAGGCTATCTAGACTATATCCTTCTCTCCTGAATGTCCCGCCGCAAGGAAAGAGCTTTTAGAGCTACATAAAATTATTATCGTGGTTGAATTAAAATAAATCTTGTTCATAAGGTCTAGATGTATTTAAGCTTCAAATTATTCATTTTTTTTAGCATGTTGATATCTTATAGCCCACAAATAGTTGACATCGATAGACAACATGTATCGTTACTGGTACCAAGTTTAAGCTAAAAGGAAATGAATACTACTAGATCTAATCTAAGTGGATATGTGACTGTGTGTATGTAGGTAGGTAACTAACTGATGTAGGCTATCAGCCTCTACAATTCCAGTCTAAACTAATGATTAGATCAGCTATGTTATACATTATGTATTGATTTTATATCACACAAAGCTAACTACCAACGATGTGACAACAGGCAACTACGAGTATTATCATATGTGTTGTAATCTATCTCATTGATGTAGCGTCCCCTATCATCGGTAACCAGGTGACCTTGGAAAGAAAGCGAAACAAAGGATTTAGTTAGGCTTTATTAAGAATAAAATACTGCAAGTTAGTAAAATTAAATAGTGGTTACCGGTAGTTATTGTGATTTGAAAGCCCTAAAGTGTCCTAAATTGTAATTTTTAAAAAATAATTGCATATTGAATGTTAAAAATCTTATTGATAGTTATTGTAAAATTAAGTTATACACTTACTACTTGGCTAACAAACTCTAAGTAAAAATGTTTCTCCTCTCTTTATTAATAGGGCTATTTACGAATCGCCCTTCTTCAGACATTGCCGTATGGATCTACAGTACTAATAATTTATTTATCAGTAAAATATGAACAATTTTCCAAAATTTAAACATTTTTGAATTCACATAACACTTTGGAGAAACTTATTACTGTATACTTTATACACATACTGTACAATACTAAAAATTCAAAATGTGGTATACAGTATTAGTATTACTAGTTTTGCATGCATCTACAGTACTGTCTTAGGCCTATTACAACTTCATTCTCTGCTCATTTTGAATGCGGATTATCTTTGATGTGATTTTTTTATACCATGCTGTATATACCATTGGTTTGTATCGTATCAATTCTAGCTCACGACCACCGATAATGTCATCCTTTACATTTTGTAACCATCGTTAACAGTATTTTGACAAATGTGACGTACTTTTGTCGTAGACTAATCTGTATTTAACATGTTTACGTTTCCTATAGTATATTGCCCCTGTCTGCACGTGTGACGTGTGACCCTCACGTAGTCTCTAAACAGGCTCCAGAGCACGTAGCCTCGGCCGGGGTTACACTACGACCCTTGATCTAACCCTAACTTACACCACACACTCGACCCTTGTGTAAATCGGCAACGTCTCTCAACTTTATTCACAAGACATCATATTTATTTACGTATCGGCATGTATAATTGTGATTGTTTTCATGTATGATTTTAGGGTAAAACGTAAGACATGACACATTTTAAAGTGATATAAATATGGTTGGTTCTATGACATGTTTTTTTTTTATATAGAAATCCTCCGTTCTTACTTATGGATTATAACGTGAACGAGCAGGATTATTTGATCCGGAATATGACTGAAGAAAAAAAGTGTGTATACTCGGGTGAGGTGTTTGTGTAGCTTTTTTACTGACTGAAGCTGTATTCAGCCCTCCAGCTGTTTATTTAGTCCTAGATATCCTATCATCAGGGCCAGCTGGGGACAATTTTAAACCATCAAAATTACTTTTATCAAGATTGAACCAGTAACTTTCTAAGCACTAGATAATCAACTAGACACTACCAATGAATACAAAAACTATTGACACTACTAACCTTCTCAAAGCTAATGCTCACCCAAATAACACACATGTCTTCTTGTGTATTAACTGCATGAGTAGTTGAGGTTTTATTTGTTCAGAAACACCTAGTTATGACTTAACGTGTAGGTCAATTGTTTTAGCGAATTTCCCAAAAAAGGAATACGCTATTACCGTAGGTCTCATAGCATATTCATTTTGCAATTTATTTACAAACAATTTCTTTAAGCTTGAAAAATAAATAATTTTGTATATTGAAACGTCGTTGTGTGCCTAATAGTTACGAAGAAAATTCCAAAAAAAACTAAATTATTATTCCGACGTTATTCTTGTGGCGATTAATAAACTGTTGTAGTTTGCTTTTTTAGGGTTACATTTTGATTGTTCATTTCATACTAAGCTATTAACTTTTCAATAAAAACCAAACTTTTACTTACTTAGGCCTACCATAAACCTTCCCTGTAGAAGAAAACATTAGTACTCATTAAAATAAATGGTATTTAAAAAGGGAGTAAATAATCCGACAATTTTAAGGGAATATTTTGACGAAAACCCAATCAGTTAAAATGGAGATTTGCTTAGTCTGCAGGTTCGCTACAGCTGGGTTATTTTATCATATTGTTGAAGGGCCCATGACTTAAAATAGGCAAATATAAAAACACGTGTAGCCACTGAATACCTACAAAATTGAACAATAAATATTTCATGTCGTATATGCCATGAATATAAAAACCCTCTAAAGATAGAAGAAAATGAGACGTTGCTTCTGTAAATTCTAACTATTGTGAATAAACGTGGAAATGGCTTTGATCCATGATATTTGATATTCCATTTAATTACCAGCTGTTCCTGATCATGTGCTTTAAATAAATGACCCTGGCTAATGAAACAGCTGATCTTAGTCAGTAAGAAAACTACACAGATCATTTCACACCTTCTACACTCATCCTTCACTCATATTTGGGTTAGATGGTTAGAATACGCACTTAGGTGGCGTCCCCATCTCAATGATTGATAATTGATAATGATTAAACTCACATATTTTCTTGTATATTTGCAAAAGAATGATGACATTTACAGTATTTTTCAGTACGGTTTCGCCATTATACTGTTACACTAAATGTATAACAGTGCTATAGGTTGATTATCTATATTAAAAAGTTTTTGCAAAACTTATAGCAGCTATCCAGACCATATTACTGGACCGAATTACACGCGGGTTGTACCAAAATAAAGGTTATCGGTCCTACGGGTGCAGGTTTTATTTGTATTTTGAAAATATTTATGTTAATTGGGTCAAAAATGGAAATGCAACTTTATTACTTAACTTTTAAGCTTACGATCAGAGAGCACAGAATAGAGATTTCTATTTTGTGCTCTCTGCTTACGACAGCCACACTGACCATACTACTGGACCGATTTACACGCGGGTTGTACCAAAAGAAAGTCATATGTCCTATGTGTGCAGGCTTTATTTGTACTTTGAGAACATTTATGTTAATTGGGTCAAAAATGAAAATTAATATTTTATTATGGAGGGCATTCTTATTTGACATGGGGCTAATTCTATAGGTATATTAAAATAGACAAGCATGTTTATTAAAAACATTTTTTCTCAGCGTCTGTGCATCGCAGGGAAAAACTACGTATAGGCCTACTGTTAGAAAGATATTTGACTGTATATGTGCAGAATCCCTTTATAAATTAAAATATGCTCAAAAATAAATACAACAAATGTATTAAAAAAAAATAACATGGCCTTTTAGGTTGCCATGTTGGTGACGTAATAACAACAAAATATAAACAGAAAATAAAAACATATGGAAAAATTCCAATCACATGTTTTATTTACAGTGCGGGGTGAAAATAGAGAAGTTTGCACAATCCGTAATAATTTTGGTCGAGTTTTCAACCACGGGACAAGCTCTAGTATTATTATTATAAATATTAGTTAAGCTTGAATATCATAAATGGACAATGAAGAAAACTATACAGCTTATGTTACTTAGACAATTATAAAATTACTGTCTGGAGGTTATTTTTTCACATTTGTTTTTAAAATAAACTCAGCTTGTAGTACTATCCCTTAAGCCTTAAGCAATAACTTTATAAGAATAATATAACGGCATATCTTCCATTGAAAAGTAAGTATCATTTTTACTTTATTTTCATAACGAGATTCATTAATATTATTACCTTACTGTCACTCTTGTGTTAGTAACCAATCAAATCTGTGTTAGTCCTTGTAATTTGGTGTAAAGCTGCATTATTATGTTCGTACCTGGGGACCGAGCCATGGCTCGGTGTAGTTTATGTCGATTGTAAAAGGCAATATAAAGGAGACTTACGTTTTATTTACAACTAATTTTGGCTTTTATTATTTAAGTTTCAGTGGAATTTCAATTTATTATGATGGAAAATTCACCTAGCAATCCTCAAGACATTCATTTATTACACAGTCGATGAAAGGTTGCTCGTTTATAATAGTTTAAATTAAAACAGCTGGTTATTTTGGGGATTAAATTTTGGTAGGAGA